ACTTGGAACCAGCGGTAAGGTGCAGTCTATGTCATCTCACAGCATTTTACCTCTTCCTAGAATTTGCAAAATTATTAATGAATTAATTTTATGTATATAAGCGCTCTATTGATTTTAGGTCAGAAGAGGGCATCAGATCCCACTATAGGTGGTTGTGAGCCATCCACCACGTGGTTGTTGAGAATTGAACTCATATCCTCTGGGAGAACAGTCAGTGCTCTTAACTGCTGAGCCATCTCCCCATTTTACCTCTTTTACCCCTCTGGAAACTAGGTGAGTGTACACAAGGACACCTGTTTTTGCAAAGTAGTGGCCCAACTATTTTTTTTAAAGATTTATTTATTTATGTATACAACATTCCTTCCATGTATGCGTGCATGCCAGAAGAGGGCACCAGATCTCATTACAGATGGCTGTGAGCCACCATGTGGTTGCTGGGAATTGAACTCAGGACCTCTGGAAGAGCAGTCAGTGCTCTTAACCTCTGAGCCATCTCTCCAGCCCAACTATTGATTCACACAAGACTATGATTGTATGTTATCGAGCCGCTCCAGCCCTCTCCCTGTCAGGAGTCACTGTGCGGTACTGAGCACTGTTAAAGTTCTCTACTAACCTCAGGCTCTTACCAAATGCTCATCAGACTTGAATCGCACACAGGCCGCTGTAAAAGGCAGATAGTAACTTCTTGGCATACAGCACAGGAGAAGTGTCCCCTTTTCCCCTAGGGTCATAAGCAATGTCACATATGAGTGGCCTCTCGTCCACTGGCCAAGAACCCTATAGATCACAGATCACTATAATTTGGAGACTCTCCTCAGAGAAGTGCAAATTCCAGTTTTTCTCTCCCGTAGTCAACATGTTTTTGTTGATAAAACAAGAACTTTCCGGAGTTAGCAAAATTGCATTCTCTATGAGGGCAAGGGCTATCTCTGAGCTCACCCTTGTGCTGCCAGAATCCGCAGCAGTTCCTAGGTCATTAGAGCTCTTCAGTACATGCCCAGGGTATGGTGGGAGAAAGACAAATTCGGGTCCATAAGCGTATGAGGAGGGAGTTGAGAAGGGAGGATGTGGTCAGATCTGTACAGAAGTACTTGTTAGCCTGCGGTACTTAGGGACATTGTTGCTCTGATAATGTGTGCATATATATAAATGTACACACACACATACACACACACACACACACAC